AATAAAATAAATAAAGAAGATAGACAAATGGCTAACAAACATATCAAAAAATTCTCATCATCTCTAATCATCAGAGAAATGCAAATCAAAACTACCCTGAGATATCACCTACCCACTGTGAGAATGGCCCACATCACAAAGTCTCCAAGATGCAGATGCTGGCATGGATACAGAGAGAAGGAAACACTTTTACTGCTGGTGGGACTGCAAACTAATACAACATTTTTGGAAGGAAATATGGAGAATCTTCAAAAACTCAAATTAGACCTCCCATTGGAGCCTGCAATCCCATTACTAGGTATCTACCCAGAAGAAAAAAAAATCCTTTTATCATCAGGACATTTGCACCAGACTGTATATTGCAGCTTGATTTACAATTGCCAAAATGTGGAAACCGCCTCTTGGGGGCAGGACCCAATCATAAGAGGGACTTTAACAAATGAATCAGTGTAACCCAATTCCTTGTACCCTCAATGAATCCCAAACAATAAACAAACAAATAAAAACTAACAAAGAAAAGAAAAGAAAAGAATGGCCTCAGTGAGTGTATGTGCACAGAAGGAACCTGCCATCTTTGCTCTGAGGGCTCAGCAGTAGCCTTCCTGGGCAGTGGTGAATCTGGCTTCATGAGGCGGTGGAGAATTTGGAGAGCTGTTTCTGGTGCTGCCATGAAGATCTCCCTACCTCTGCCCTGCCTTGGATAATGACCCTAGCAGTAGTGGGAGTAGCATCTAACACATCTACAGTACATGGGCATTGCTGGGCACTGTCCAATGAGCCTGACACATTTAATCCTCCCAAGAGAACTGTGAAGTTCTATGCTCCACTTCGAAAAGTGAAGCACAGAGGTTAAGTGACTTGCCCAAAGTCACCAAACTAGGCAGTGGTGAAGCCAGACAAAGCTCTGAGTCACTCCTCCTCACATGTTTGTTCAGCTTACTGGCCTCTAAGCTGTTTCTTTGCAAAGAGTTGCCAATGAAGCGCTCACCCTGAAGAGGACTAAGATTGGATCCCTGGCTCACAGATTGGTGCTAAACAGGCCACAAACATCCACGGAGGTAGCCTCACTACACTGGGCCATACCAGCCTGCTGAGCAGGAAGGCAGGCTTTGAGGACAGTGAGCCTCCATAATGGGGTGCTCTGCTCATATCACCAGGGGCTAGAGGTTCTGTGACTCATTCAGAAAACATCCTTGGCCACTGCCCCCACCTGGTTCTCCCATGGAAGGATGCTCTGCAGGTCAGAGGCCCAAAGGATCTGTGAGTCAGTTTCAGTCTCAGAGTCTGTGCTAAAAAGTAGACCTCCTTGTGTGGGAGGGAAGGGGCAGGGAGGGAAATGGGATGAAGAAGGGCATAACTCAGATGGCTGACTTTGAAAGTGGCTTACTCTACCCATTTGCTGCCATCCCAAAGTTGGGGTGACTAAGACTCCCAACCCTGCAGAGTACAGAGGTACTTCAGAACTGGGCGGATGGTGAGGAGTGTGCCACTGAGGGGGTGGAGCTGAGGCCAATACTCACAAATCAAATAGCAAGCCTGCCTGAGCAAGCCACTTGGGAAGATGGATGATGGCACCCACCTGGCTGTAGGCCTCAGGCGAGGGCTGGGCCATTCTGGACCATCCAGAGAGGAATGCTATGTGCCTGCCCTCTGCTGAGCCTGAACCCAAGAAGAGGGAACAGGGAAACTGCCAACTGCCTGGTAGAGACAATTCTGGCTATTGCTGGAACACCTCATTAAGAGCCCTAACTCCAGGAGAGATCAGTGAGCCTGGAAAACAACTGAGGAAAACATGGCCAGATTAACACACATGCACCTTGTAGAGTTCTGAAAACAAGATGAACTTCTATGCCTCAACTAGGTCTTCATCTGTAGAATCCAAGTTTCCCCAGGACATAGTGAGTCCACCAAAAACAGTCCTCACTGTGTTATCCAGAAATAGACAGTGCCAGTTTTGCAAAGTAGTTGACTGGCTGATATTCCTGGCATCTGGTTGGGGATGCACTGCCACTTTAATTTGCAAAGGGGCTGAATGATGAGATGTAGGATCAGGGTTCTACAAAGACACCAAACACGCAGCCACAGGCCACAGGACAACCTTCACTTATTCTCTGTGATGCAAAGTTTCTTACAAAGTTACTATCATACTCCTAACTGCTACCATATAACAAAACCTTCCATGTGTACCCCTAAAAAACACTGACAGGAAATGTTTTTAGTGTTATATTCGTCTGGATCCAATGAAGCTATTTTTAACCATCGTCTCAGACTCAATTTCCAATTTTATCCTATAAAGTTCTAATTGATTCCACCTCCCCTGATCTCTCACTTGACGAGGCTGTGAAAAACATTAGGCACTTTCTGATGGGTTTAAAGTAGGTATTTTTTAAGTCTTTGCATGCTGCTCATGTCTCCCTTAGCACATGCCTTCTTCTCAGGGTTTAACAGGCATTCAGCAGGGACTGCACACAGCAGCCTACATTCTCCAAGCCCCCTGTCCTGACACCTAACCTTTCCCTTCAAGTGTACTTCCTTCAGTGGGTCTGAGGTATGTAGTCCCAGCTGGGCTCCTGTGACATGCTCTGGATGATGTGACTTAATGCTTTCCTCACTTAGCCCACCATCCTGAGGTGTGGAAAGATGCCCTGCCACCTCAGCTCCATCTTCATTAGAGACACCAACGGTCCTTTGCATCCTACCCATGGGCTGACCTGGGGGCCACCCTTCCTGCTGCCCCCACCCTTGGCTTAAATATCTCTCCTTCCCTTGTTGGCCGCATGTGTCCCTCCTTAAGTCTTTCTCTACCCATGTGCTGCCATTAAGAGCTATGGAATCCCTCTTGGGGGCAGGACACAATTATAAGAGAGACTTTACCTAATAAATGTAATCAGTGTAACTCGTAAAAATTTAAAAAAATTTTTTAAAAAGTTAAACAACCTAAATGTCATATAACTTATAGGTTACTTAAATAAATTATAGTCATTTACCAAAAAAAAAAAAAGAGCCAAGGAATCAGAGGATCTTTTCTTTTTTTTCTTTTTTTTTTTGAGGCAGTCTCACTATGTTGCCCTCAGTGGAGTGCCATAGTATCACAGCTCACAGCAACCTCAAACGCTTGAGTTTAACTAATTCTTTTGCCTCAGCCTTCCAAGTAGCTGGGACTACAGGAGCCTGTAATAACGTCTGGCTATTTTTGTTGCACCTGTCATTGTTATTTAGCTGGCCTGGGGCCAGGTTCAAACCCGCCAACCTTGGTGTACATGGCTGGCACCATAACTACTGTGCTTTGGGCACCGAGCTGAATTGGAGCATCTTTAAATCCTGCCCTGTCCTCTACCTGCCACAAGCCAGCCACCCTTTGCTTCCTTTACTCCCTAGATGTACCCATGGCCCCTTTCACATATGTAGGCATGCTGCTTCCTCTGCCAGGACCACATTCCCTCCCTAGGGTGAGATACCCCCAGTGTTGGTCACCACCGCTTATGAAGGTATTTTGCACTACTGAAACTGTGGTGCTATGAGTCTGTGATACAAGCTGCCAACCTAAGATCCAGTGGGAGGGGCCCTATCTACCTTGCTGATGAACATAGTCTGGGCCATAGCTAACTTTTAATGAGTAGCTACCTAGAGATAAGCATGGATTAAATCATGCAGATTCATCTCCCTTAATTCTTATCATGAACACGGGAGGCAGAGCCCATGACTACCTGCACATTACAGACAAATACACCAGAGCTTAGAAAATGGAAAGGATTTCCCTAAGGTTGCTCAGAGCATTAGGAAGGGGCCACTTTCAAACTCAGAGCCTAGGTGCTTGAAGTCTAGACTTATTGCTCACAGTTCTTTGTAGGTCCCTGGAGTGCCTATCTAGCAAAGAGGAAGATGAAGGGACAAACATAATGTTTCTTTTAAAGTTTGTTATGACCCAGGCCAGCTCCAGGTGGGCACGTTCTGGAAGGATGGAGTGTGGTGAATTTGGAGTCTAGTGGCCTGGCCAGGGCTTAGATGGCTCTGAGAGCCATGATCCCGGAGCAGGCACTCTTACTTCATTAATTTGGACTGGAAAACAGATCCATTATAATTATGCTTCAAAAAAATAATAGCACTTGCTGGTCAATTTCAAATATCCAAATGTCAAATCATGTACATGTAACTAGGGGAACTCACACCATGACCTACCTGGGTGAGGACATCCAGCTGGCCTACGATGTGCTCCAGTGTGCTAGTCAGTGTCTGGGGCATGCTGATGGGCTCTTGGGGCTGGCTCTGCATCGACTCCAGACTCTTGCCTCTGCCTGGTGAGATGGGGAAATCCACTGCTGGCTGGGTAAAGACAGAAAGAAAAGAGTCCCTCAGTATATTCAGTGCTTTAGGAAAGACTGAAAGAAGACTAGCCCCTTTAAAGGATTAAAGGACAGCTCAGAGCCTGTGGCTTAAGCGGGTAAGGCACCAGCCACATACACCTGAGCTGGTGGATTCGAACCCAGCCCAGGCCTGCTAAACAACAATAATGGCTACAACCAAAAAATAGTTGGGCGTTGTGGCAGGCACCTATAGTTCCAGCTACTTGGGAGGTGGAGGCAGGGGAATCGCTTGAGCCTAGGAGTTGGTGGTTGCTGTGAGCTATGATGCCACAGCACTCTACCCAGGGCAACAGCTTGAGGCTCTGTCTCAGGAAAAAAAAAAAGGATTAAAGGGCAAACTACCAGCAAACTTGAGAAAATGAGTTCCAAGTGTCAGTGATAAATGGCAGTGTGGTGTGACACTCACCTTTCCAAACAGAAGCCATGAGTGAGGAGCAGAATCAGAGTAACTAGAGGCTCAGGCTGGAAAGGGCCTTCAGAGGATAGCAGGTGGCCAGTGAGTACCTCCAGGGACCCATCTCCTACCTCTGCATCTAGCTTGCACCCTTCAGCAGGAATCATGGTGAATCCAGAGGTATTAAAGACTGGCCTGGCTCTGAAGTCAGCTAAATTCCAATTCACTACCCTCCCACATGGAGATGTCCCAGACTTCACTAACGACTTCCTAAGACCCCAGGAACTATGGCCTAGAACTGGAAGTGAGGGTAAAGGGGGAATGTTCCAACCTTACCCTAGTTCCCCTGGGAAAATAAAGATGTCTATGTGAATGTCCTAGTCAGATGGCTGGTGGGAGTTGGCATTCATAGGACAGTTACCTCATGGCTACCTTAAACAGGATTCCAGGAACATCTGAGGCTTGGTGTTTCTGCCTAAGGCTCTTCAGCTCCGAAATTCAGAAAAGTCAGTCTCTTGCTCTATACAAAGACAAAGGCTTCCTAACCAAAGAAGCACTGTCCATGTTCAGCAAGGCAGGATACTACAGCCAGGGGTATCTGAATGCAGGGCCAGCAGATGCCCAATTCTTGGAGCCTGTGATTCCCCTGTGGACTTGTTCCAGTGGGAATGTGACCCTCAGTGATAGTCCACATTCTCAGCTAGCTCCAAAGCCTTAGCAAACCATAAATGCAGCCACACTTGGGGGTTTTAAACCACTACCTCACTAATGGACATTCCAAATGTTACCACGTCACTCCCTAGCTTTGCCAGTCCTCCAGGGCTTTCTGCTGCCTTTGGGACAAAATCCAAAAACCCTGGCAAGGTACCCCAATCCAGTCTGCCTCATTCCTGAGCTCCTCTCTGCCCTTGAGCCCAGCTCATGTGGTCCTCTCCACTGGGGATATCCTCAAGCCCCCCCTTCTCAGCACCCTGTTCTCCTTCACATCATAAGGCACCCTCCTAATCAGAACTCCTCTGTGCTCCTGTAGGCCTTGACCTGCCCTATTCCTGTACTGTTTCTCTGGCCACTTCATCTCTAGGGCCAGGTTGAGACACCTGAACGGGATTAATCAATGCCCACCAGCTACCATTGTGTCTGTGCCCTCTCCCTTCTCCTGTCTGTGTTTATCACTCCTTTCCCCCCAAACCCAGGACATATCTGTGTTGGAAGCTTGCCATATACCACAAAGCCAACGGTACTCCACCTGGCAGCCTCCCACCCTCAGTGCCACAACTAGTGGAGTATACTGACTATGGCTGGGGCTCATGTAGGATGTCTATGCACCCACCCACAACTTTGCCCTGCCTACAGACCCACTGCCAGATGTAGCAACTGGCTACATCTCTTGAGTCTCCCACCTCTTGGACTAACCCATAGCAGCCTGGCCTTGGGAAGATGCTCTGCCCTGGACATGCCCACCTTGGTGGACATCAGAGTCCTTGAAAAAAAAAAAAAACAGCCCAGGAGAGGATTCCCAACCAGCAAAGAAAAAATGTTAAGAGAAGTTTAGGACATGGACCCTACCTGCATGTTTTCCTTTATTAGGATACCTTACAGAATCTAATCTAATCTCATGGGTCATAAACTCTCAAGGACAAGCTGATATGAACTTGCAAAAATGCACACACTGGTGGCCAGATAACTTGCATGTGAGAAGAAAAGCAGTTCTGGGTCAGTCCTTATGCCCATTTTTGGCATGTCTGTTATATCTGTGGCCATTACAGATATATGTGTGACCATTACATATGAGCCAATAGGTGAGGCTCTTTTAGCTCTCTAGGAATCAATGCCCACCCAGAAGTCCATCCACAAAGGAAACATTTCAGAAGCCTATTCACTTTGCCAGGACAACTTATAGTCCATCATGGTGCTCCCCAGACCCAAGCAGTTCTACTGGGAAACATAACATAGTACAGCAGTGAAGAATGGTGACTCAAGACAGGTGAGGTGAAATTCTAGCTCCACCCCTGAACAGCAAGGTAGCAATGGGCAAGAGGCTTATCTTCTCTGAGCTTCTACTTCCTCTTCTATAAAATAGGGGTGATGCCTGGGCCAGCTCTTCAAGGGTTTCTAAAGTCACCAGCTGACCTTTCTTGAGAAACATTCACAGTCTTGTGCCCATCCTTCCAGAGAACTCTTCCAAACATGCACACTCTTCCACTGGAGAGAGGGTACAAGAAGGCAGCCCTTCTGCCCTGACAGCTGTCATCGTCCTGTTAAAGGCAAACTAATGCTGCCTGTTGCTTAAGAAGAAAGGAATGGAAATTCTAAATGTTTCTACAGAATGGCACAGAAACTGACAGCACTGACCTCTGCCTCTGGAAGCACAGTGGATGGTGAGGGGAGGCAGAGGACCACTGACCTTAGTAACAGAAACTCTCCTTCTGAGCCAAAGCCAAGCCAGCTCTAGGGAATACTAGGGACAACAGCCACAGTGCTCTGAGCTGCAGATAGGCCTTTAGAAGAAAGGGTTGCGGGCGGCGCCTGTGGCTCAGTGACAAGGGCGCCAGACCCATATACCGAAGGTGGCAGGTTCAAACCCGGCCCGGCTGAACTGCAACCAAAAAATAGCCGGGCATTGTGGTGGGTGCCTGTAGTCTCAGCTACTTGGGAGGCTGAGGCAACAGAATTGCTTAGGCCTAGGAGTTGGAGGTTGCTGTGAGCTGTGTGACACCACAGCACTCTACCAACAACAACAAAGTGAGACTCTGTCTCTACAAAAAAAAAAAAAAAGAAGAAGAGAGGGTTCAAGAACCACTGTTTTTTCCCATCTATACCATAAGTTTAGTGGGCTATCTCCATTTACAACAAAGGAAACTGAGGCTCAGACAGAAAATAACTGTCTGAAGATACCTAGTCTCAAACCCTCAGTACTGCCCTGAGCCATTTCTCTGCCTCCTTGCTCATTTTTATCAGAAGACATCCAGCATTTAAAA